TAATTTTTTTTTTTTTTTAATCTTCAAATTATTATAAAATTAAAAAACCCCCCCCCCCCCCCCCCCCCCCTCCCCCGGTGTTTGCCATCGGGGTTGGGTTTTCGTCGCTTGGCAACGACGTTGTAAAACAAGCCGCCCCCCCCGGTGTTTGCCATCGGGGTTTGGGTTTTCGTCGCTTGGCAACGACGTTGTAAAACAAGCCCCCCACTCGGTGTTTGCCATCGGGGTTGGGTTTTCGTCGCTTGGCAACGACGTTGTAAAACAAGCCAATTCACTTCGTGAACTCGGCAACCAGGTTACCGTTTTTTTTTTTACCTCGGTTTTTTTTTGGCGGTAACCATAATGGTGGTCGAGTAGATCATGTTGTGCGGGGTCGAGAACCCTCACTCCGCGCAACGGGGGATGATCGCACCACGTTGTGTTAAAATGGTCAAGCTTCCTCGAGGCAGTTACACAGTGCTTACAACTGTCTCTGGAAGTGAAAGCACCAGAAAATAAATTAAGTCATACGTAGCTGTCATCCGTACGCAAGGAAGTAAGCACAAGATGCCGAACACCCTTAGCAGGATGCAGCTCACCCTTCATGCGACTCGCCAAATACCTCACGGCGCTTCGCGCTTGGTGATGTGAGAGCCTGGTCCGGTGAGAACCCGGCATGCTCCGTCCCGGCTTTGTAGGGATGCGAGGTCAATGGTCAAACGACTACGGCATGCACGACTATGAGTACACCCCCTCCCCCCGTCACCACTACCCGCGTCGGCACCCACACCCTTTTCTAAGCCCTCAGCCCCGCGCCGGACGATCCCTGTTCTCTAGAGCGTGCGGAATATGGAGACCTCTGCGTCGGAATTTTTTCTGTACAACGGGGTTGTCCTGCGGGCGGCTCAACCGCTACTAAATATCTCCTGGTTGTCTTGCAGACCGAGCTGCCAAAAGAAAAGCTTCACGACACAACGCGATGCCATGCGACACACGATAGTACCACACCATCACACACGGACAAACAAGCACATCGCCACGAGATTGATTCAGGTATCACAGGAGGAATAGCACTTACTTGCGGTGTGTCCTCTTGCTGTACAAGCACTCTTTCAGTACGGACGCTGGAGGCTAGAGGCTAGAGGCTGCCGTGCATTTTCCTCCGCGGCGCCCCCTTGTCGGAGGCCCTCTTGGGAAGGGCATCCTTCCTTGTGTTCTACGCTGACAAACGCGCTCGGATCGGTCGCCCAATTAGCGAGGTCCACGAGAACAACAGAAAAAAAAGCAACACAAACAAACACATACCTCACGGGATTCCAGATCATGGCCCTTGGAGGTGTTTTGCATGACCGGTGTCGTTTGAACACTAATTACGCACACGCGCACACAGCAATAAACAACCACACGCATCAACCTCAGCAGGCTTTTCTTTCTCCCAACGTATCCCGCGCGGAAAGGCACGCGGCCTCCGACCATCAGTATCTACGCTGTTGACTCTTTTAGGCCCTGTCGGAACCCCCCACGAGGCGAAGCACGTCTTTGATTATCACGTTCCAGACCAGCTCGATGGCCACCTCCACGAAGATGAGGTAGATGATGATCACCTCCAGGCGCGTCGCGTGCGCGTTCGTGCTCTGGGTCGAGAGAACGTCCAGCAGCTCCCTCAGTATGCTCTGCGATGGTGTTGTGCGTCGTCGTTGCCGTCAGCAGAGAGACAGGGGGGGCGCGGGACGAACAGTGGAACGTGTAGGACCAAACAAAAAAAAAAGCGGGCAGCCGATCGACCAAAGCAATGGCATGGGCAAGGAAAGGGGGAGGAATACACCGAAACAAGGCATGGTATGGTTTCATCGAGACAGAAATAAAACAGAGGTCAAGAGACCCAGAAACTAACAACCCGTAGAGAGAGAGAGGGGGGGGGGGAGGGAGAGAAGAAGCAGGCCAAGTTCGCGAGCACACCAACCGGGAACAAAACCACGAAAGAAAACCCGAATGAAACAGGGGGCGCGCTTTTGGTTGGTTGGTTGGTTTTCTCACGTCACCGAAGACGGCGACAGGCGGACTCTCGCCACAAGGGTGATTACTGTACTCTCCCCTCGGACAGTCGCCCTTACTCATCCATGTCACACGAATAGACTACAACCCTCACCAGTCTCTTGTTGAGGTTATCCACCCTCAGTGGAATATCGAGGTAGGCGCACAGCGCCTCGTACGCTGGCTCCCAAGCGTCCTCCTCCCAGAAATACTCGGGCGTGTCCTACATAATGTAGGCGAGGAGGGGGGGTACTCAACATCTATTTCACAGGAATAGTCGTCCGGCCGTAGATCCTCGCGAGCCAAAACCCGGAATGAGAGGGCAAAGGGTATTGGGGGGGGGGGGGGGGGGGACAGGGCACCTTCCCCTGGGTTTCGATTATTAAACTGCAACCCAAAGCAGGTAGCACTCAAACCAAGGGTCCGTGCCAAAGAGACGCTTTCCGGGTGCTAAGAGTGTTGGATCCTATTTAGCTTCTTGGACAGAGTACTTACCAGGATGTCGGAGTGTAAGTTGACCTCATTTTGTTCGCATAGCACTCGTCCAACCAAGCGCCTGTTATTGCATCGGCATTGGGAGCGGCAAGGAGGGGCGGGGAGGACGACAAGTCTCAAACGTCTACGTTGCGCCCGTGGTTTTCACGATACTCCTCGAATCATGACTCGATCCACTGGACCCCTTCATCACAACCAACGAATGCGACATGACTGTGACAAAAAAATAAAACTGAGAAGATCCGATTGCAAATGGACGACGCATAAAAACAAAAAACATACACACACGGAATCCAAGTGTCGCGTATCGATGCAATCACTGAAAAACCACAAAAAAAAAAAAAAACAGGTACGGTGTCTGATGGTCCGTGACGGGTACGTCACCCACCGCTACACAGAACAAGCGCTCTTACAGTACTACGCAGGAAAATGTCAAACGCTCAAAATCCTAAAATGACCACGCACACATGTTCGCGTCTTTTATCCCGCCACAAGACCGACGTCCTTCCATTGGCCAACCGGTAAGCGCGGCCGATGCCACCCCCCCCCCAACGATCTGGCTTACCCTATTTGAACTTCTGTCAGCGGAATCTTTCCCGTGGCGGCTAGGACTTGCGGGTATTTGGCGGTTGTCTCGATGATGTTGTCCAGCCGCTCCTCGAACACAAACAGCTTGGCGGACTGCGCCAGGGAGCACGAGTACGCAAGCTTCTCGGCGGGGTCTTGAGTGTCCAGGGTGATCTGTCTCATAGATAGACAGATGAACGAGAGCGAGAGCGAGAGCGAGAGCGAGAGAGAAAGATGTAGTGCACGGGGCTCTCAGAAGGCAATGACTGGCAAAAAGACAGGAACGGAACGACGGCGCTATAACAACCACAGCGGCGACGCCGACGACCACGGCAGAAGCAACCCTCAGCAGCGTAAACAATACAGGCAACACAGGGGGATGCTCTGGTGGCCACCAGATGACCGGAGTACCAGCCCCACAAGATTCAAGAATGAAAGACGTCTCCTCAAGGGCTGCTGCCCAAAGGGGCGCGTGTGGCGCACGAGTTCCCAAGGGTGGTGGTCATTTGTCGCGTATCCCCCGACAAACATCAGAGAGACACGTGTAGGACACCCAACAACCACCCCCCGGAAACGCGAAAGTCAGGTGCGTTCATCGTTTCACTCCCCCCCCCCCCCCCCTGACGAGATACGCCGGGGCCCCGACACCCGCATGCTCCCGAACGTAGACTTGAGACTGAGGGTGACCCTCACTGCTGTACCTGTACCCGACAGGAGGCGTACGTTCGGCATACCGGCCCAAAACGTGCTTAGGGGTACGGGGAACAAAGCTTACTCGAGTAATCGACACCCACACGTTCAACAACGCAAACGTACTTTCTGAGTGATCGCGGCGACAAACAGGCTGGCTTGTGTACTTCATCTGTTTGTGCATGGTACGTTGTGGAGTGCATTCGTTGTTCGTTCGATCTATTGACCGTTCCCAAGAAGGTCTTGTGTATGTATGTTTTTCACTACGAGTTACAACCTCTTATCCGTTTCTCCAAGACATGTCCCTCCCCCTCCAAACACTTCTCTCCCGAAAGTCTCGAAACTGGCAGAGAGAGAGAGAGAGAGAGAGAGAGAGAGAGAGAGAGAGAGAGAGGATGACACACCTCGTCGTTTTTCAACGGCACGCCTCTTTTCCCGCCGCGATGTCGGTATACGAAAGTCCTGTAGCCGGAGACACGGCAACAACAGTGACGCCATATATGCATAGAACGACGCAGGAAACAGGTGGAGGGACACAGAGAGAGAGAGAGAGAGAGACAAGGCGGGGAACACTTCGTCAGAGAACGGGTGGAGGGGTACTGTCTATGATCAAGACGGTGCCACACGTTTTGCCGGCGTCATGCTGGAAATAAACACACACCTAAAAAGAGGTATGTATAACTAGCTACAACAGGAGAACACGCAATAACACACGGAACACGCATTGGTGTCGAATCCGACGAGAGATAAAAAAGAAACCGCCACAACAGGAGAGATAAAAAAGAAACCGCCCCAACAGGAGAGATAAAAAAGAAACTGCCACAACAGGCAGCCGCGGATGTTCATAGTTTTTCGATTCTCGAACCTCTTTGGAATTAAACCCAGCCACGTAAACCGCAAAAGAGGGTTCGCAGAATAGCACGGAAACCGCAAACACTGCTGAGGACAAACGCACATGTCGTCGAAGGATTGGGCGAGCTCGGTCTCTGACACTTTCCCCACCATGAAGCGGGTGAGGTTGGACAGTACTTCCTTCTCCTGTAGGCCGAGGCAGAAAACGCAAGCGGGGGGGATAGAACAAGTTGGGGGGGGTTAACCTTGAGGCCAAGATTATCGGTGTTGATCACGAGGTTCCGTGAATATGAGGTACAGGTGGCAAGAAGCAAAAGCGCGCTAAGACCGTGTGGCGGGGTCTCCATAAAAAATGGACTTTGCTTACGTTGCCGATACCCGTGACAATAGAAACGGACTGCGCTGCATCGGGAAATCTGCACACCATTTCCGGGACGGAAATATACCGTATTTGTCGGAGAGATGGCACCCCCGTGTTAGCGTTTTTTGTAGCGTATTTCTCCACAACCAGGGGGGTACCACTGCCAAAAAGGGTAGTTGTGGAAACATCTCGTCGAGGGCTTTCCTGAGAGGTATCGGTTGGTGTTCGCACCCTCCTACTTGTGGAGAAATACGCTAAACTGAAAACGCTAACACGGGGGTGCCATCTCTCCGACTCTTACGGCATTGCGAGACCCCTGCACGACTTCACAGCGTGCTCGAAACGAAAATATGCCTCAGCCAACAAAGCAAACTCATACAAAGACGGAAGACCTGCCGTTGCCCTGACGAAGCCAGGCGCCGTGTGCTCAAGAGGGAGTGCGCGACGGCGGGGTCAGGGCCTAACAACCACCGCCTCCCGTGAACGAAGCACTCGCAGCCATCGCGTAGCGAGACGCGTGCTCGACTGCTCTGCCGCCTGCGGCAGCGCAAACGCCGGACGGTGCTGCTTGCTACTGCTGCTGTGGCACGTTGCACCGTGTACCACTCCGCCACACTTTCCGAGCCGCGCTACCGCTGTGCTGCGGTGGGGCTTCACATCACACCTCGGCCTCCGAGCACCCCCAGAAAACCACCGCGCCGTACGGGAAGAACATGATGTCCTTGTGGCGGGTGACGGCATCATCGCCTTCGTCCTCGCCGCCGCCGCCGCCGCCGCCGCCGCCGACACCGGTGCCGTCCACGTCCTCTTGCTCTTGGTCGTAGCCGTCCCCGTAGCCGTCCTCCCCGTCGGCGGACTCGTCCGCTTCCCAAGCGGGCCGTTCGAGCTCGCGAGCCTTTCGGAGCCCCCCCCGAAGGTCGGTGGTCGAGTGGATCACGTCGATGTAGAGCGAGTCCATCCACTCGAGCCCGTCTACCCCCGGAGAGGCCGCCGCCGTCGCTGTTGGCCCACCGGCCGTTTCAACATCGACACCGGTGCCGCCGCCCCCGCTATCTGCCGCCTCGCCGCCGCCGCCGCCCCGCCACTCTTGTCCGCCTGTCTTCGCCCCCGCGGCGGCGGCGGCGGTGGCGGTGGCGACCACGACCC